AATGACTCCCTGTCTTATTGCTATATATGTGTCAGAAAGATACATCTGATATCCCGAACTGTTACCTTCAGGAGGGAGTTAAAGATGTATCTCTTCTGACAGGCCTTCCCAGATTAGTTTTATTTAATATGCTTGGTTTTTAGTCAAATTTTAATCATGGTTGGTTTTAATCTCCCATAAACCACCCAGCGCCTATGGCAATGATGCAGTATATAAAGATTTAATAATATTTTAACTTTGGATTCTAATGCTGCCTCTTCCTCCATTGCAGAATTTGTAATTTCTGCCAGTCCTCTGAGGCCTAGTTGAGAAGACTGAAACAGAAGCATGAACTGTACCAACAGGAGGAAGCCCACAAGCAAAGAAAAGGCTGAAGCTTTCTTCTCTTGTGACAATGGCAGTGCCCTCTAGAGGCAGAAATACATCTTGATTTTACATTTGAAATTTGTAGTCTCAGTTTACAGTATAGGATTAACTTTTCCATAGTGCACAAGAACTGGAAGAAAAAGGCCTTCAGACCCCTCCCCACAACTTCATATCTTTAACCCTTCATAAACTGCATTGCTGCTATAATAACTGCACAACTCTAAAACATTTCCCCAGAACTCCAAGCACTGGCCTGCAACAAAATAACTTCGTGTAACACTAGACCAAACAGTCTCCTACAAGACTCATTTAGAGAACACCACCACGAAAATCAATACTAGGAACAACATACTTCAGAAACTAAGTGGAACAAAATGGGGAGCCTCAGCTGTTACCCTTAGAACATCAGCACTAGGGTTGATCTACTTCAGAGCGGAATACTGTGCCCTTTTGAGCCATACAGAATACTCAGCTGCAAGATCTAGCAAGATCAACACTAGCAAGATCAACACCAGACTTAACACCATGAGAATTACAAGTGGATGAATCAAATCTACTCCTACTTGCTAGCTTCCTGTTCTGAGCCATACAGACCACCAGTTCTACAAAGGCAAGATGTCCTAGTGAGAGAATAGAGAAAAATAAGGAATGATCTACTTCTACTAGTGCATGCTGACCTTCCTTATTTATCAGCTGGTGGGCTTAAATCCAGGAAGCCCTCACTGGCACTTGCACAACATCTGTATAATAACTCTTAATATGAATTCCCAATGGAAAGCTAAATGAGTTGCTGAACACCCAGAAACGGGTAGGCATTTAGATGATCACACGCAAAAGGTGCCAGGTTTTGACTTACCCCACCCGTATTGGACAACTCTGAACAGGATTCACATCTCACACAGGGGGTGCCAAGACTCACTGCATAAAGATGGAGGGATTTGGTGGGAATAGCAACTCAGACTTGGGAGAGGAGGACTGGATAGCTGAACCAGCTGTGGCTCAGAGTTCTCACTCTGATATTGGAGTTGTTGAGACTAGTGACTCCTATTAAGGCTTAATCATTAAAAAAACAATGTACATAAAGACTGTACCTTCCCTTCTAATTCTGGAGCTGGTGGGGATTGGCCTTATAAGCAGCAATGTGCACGCAGAGACTTCCCAGGTGGGTGAAGTTCCAATATTCTCCCCTGCCTCACCTTACATAAATTTACCTCTGGGCTGGAAAACAACTCATTCATTCATTCCATTTCTATACTACGCAATAGCCAACGTTTTCTGGGCAGTATACAAAGATGAAAAATACCTTATGAAACCAGTTAATACAAACATATAAATAGACTGCACAGACATAAATATATCCCAAACAAGTTTAAACAATCAATGATAAGAAAAATATAGGAGCTGATTAAAACCCCTTTCTAAGCTGCTAGTGCTCGAGATAAATGTCTTAATATCAACAATATAACAATGCCTGTGTGGACCTTGTTGGAGAGATTATTTCATAACTGGCTGAGTCCACCATATGAGTCCTTTCCCTCTTTGCTTCCTTCTGGGCTGCCCTCAGAGCAGGAATCTGAAAGATGGCCTTTATCTAACATGGTGTAGAAGATTCATGCCAAGGGAGGCACCCTGGCAGTCTTAAGTACTGCAGTCCCAAGACATGTCAAGTTACATAGATTAAAAACAGCACCTTGAATCAAACTAAGAAGCATACAGGCAGCTAGTGTAACTGATGCAGAATTGGCATTATATGTTTGAATGATCTTGTCTCTGTTACTAATCTAGCTGCTGCATTTTGTATGAGCTACAGATTCTGAACTGTATTGCAGAAATATAACTAGGCGGTGACCAGAATACAGACAACTGAAGCCAGGTTATCCCCATTCAGATAGAAGTATAACTGGTCTAACAACCAAAGTACAGCGTAGAAAGGGTAGGTCTTTTTCCTCCCTAACCTTATTCCATCTGCTCAGTTTCATCCAGAGGGGCTGTTCTGGGTGGTTAGCAGGTTTTTAAATCCTGGCTATGTTAGGCTGTCCACCCAGAGATAAAACTGCCAAGATCTTGTTGTGATAAACTGCATCCTTTCCAAATTGAACTATAACTAATCCAGGGTCTAAGCCAAAAGAGTCATTAGCTGCTTCTTGTTATGTTCGCTTGGATCTGTTTTAGTCTTGTTTTTCTCCAGCATTGGGAGTTTGCTTTGTGAGGTATGGCACGTGTGCCTTAGAACTATCTGCATCATGACTGGTCAAAGTTAGCTGGGATGTGTTTGAGCCATTATTAGAAAAAAATAAAACTCTGCTTTGGAAGAAGGTGTTACCAGCTCTGTTAAAGGAAGTGGCAAGTTCTCTCCTAATAAAGCTATTCCTAAGCACTGGTGTCACCTTCTGCTACGTAACTATCTCTAATCATCCCCTTGAGGAAGGGATGCAACACCTGCTTTCAATTTAGCTCCAGTGTCTCTCAGAGAATACTAATTTTTCTATTTCTTACCAGTTCATCTGTTTGGTCAGATATTCCTCTTCTAGCATGAGTGGAGATAAAAATTGTTACTTGGAGAACTACTAATTGATTATTATAATGAGTATTATAATGATTAATTTAATTACAAGTGAGGAAAAGCCTGGATGAACAAAGCATTTTTTCAGGGGGTTTCTGAAAGATGCGTATTTTCTGCCTCAGACTTGCATGAGGGACAGTTTTCCAGAGTGGATGCTGCTACTAAAAGGGCCTACCATGGTAGTATGTGCACAGCAATGATCAATAATTTTGGAATGACCAATAAGGCCTCCTCTGAGTGTCTTAACTGTCATTGGCTGGGTGAGGAAAGGCAGTCTTCTCGATAACCTGGTCCCATGTTAATTAGGGCATTGTATGTCAACAACTTAACCTCGAATGTGGCTCAGTCAGGAATAAGCAAGTCAGTGCAGTTCTTTTAACTCCAATTTTATAAGAGAATAGCTGGGTGTCCCATGGAGCAGCCTAGATGCTGAACTCTGTATTAGCTGCATCTTCTGAACCAGGCCCAATGACAGTCCCACACAGAGCACATTATGGTAATACAGTTAGCAGTGTATGAATCACCATGTCTAAATTATCTCTATCCAGGAATAGGCATAGTTGGCATAGTAACTGAAGTGGGGAGTGAGGACTTTGGAGTCATCCAGGTCTCCAGTAGTAGAGGCAGATCTGGGAGTCCACCCAAACTACCTACCTGTTCCTTTTGAGGGAGTACAACTTCATCCAGAACTGGTAAATAGCCTAGTTCCAAGACCTAGGAAATATAGTGAGATCAAGCCCTCCCTTCTTGCCTTTAGGCTCTGAAACAGCAGACAGTCTCTTTGCAAATGCAGACCTTTATTGGCACTTTGCAGCTACAAGGCAAAGCAACTCTGCAAACCCTCTAGTGTAGCCTTCCCCAACCTTGTGCCTTCCAGACACATTTGGACTGTAATACCCAGAATGCCCAGTCAATGGCCCTGCTGGATGAGAATTATAGGAGTTGAGATCCAAATGCCTCTTAATGGCAGGGACAGGTATTGTGAGAAAAAAATTGCCATGAAATTATCTGACCATGACAATGGGGAGAGTTCTATTGACTTTCCAATATCCAGCCACCCTGCCTCATGCCCAGAGTCAACAGCCAAATCAAAGGTATGTCCTGACCTGTATGTTGGGCCAGTGACAAATTGATGTCTTCCATGAGTATCATGCAGAATATGAAGGCCTGAGCTGATCCTGTTAAGGTAGCCTCAGCATGGATATTGACGTCCCCCAGGGCCAAAGTCCTAGGGTTCTTCAACAGCATATCCAAGGCTGTATTAGCTAGCTCAGTAAGGAAACCACTGGGTAGCAGGGTGGTAAACCAAAGTGCCCCCAATGTGTCTCTTTGGCCCAACAGAAGTTACAGGCCCTTATTGTCCATCCCAGACAGAAGGGTTTACTTGGAAGTAAAATCCATCAAACACAATGAGATATAATTCTGAGTAAACATGTATAAGATTACATGGCAAGTTAATACTATATTAGATCCAGACAGTTATTAGGTCTCATTGAGATCAATTGAAAAGGTCAGTCATGAGTAATTTGGCCTAGATCCAACCCTGAAATCAATGGGCTGTGTTTAGGACTCCAATAAGGCGGCTGTCCTAAACACACTTACTAGAAAAGTACAACAAGCATAGCAAGCCCTGTATCTGAGCAAGTGTACACAGGACTGCACTGTAAATGCAGTTGTGAAGTTGGATTATGGTCAATGTATTTCAACACAGAAAATTCTCATATTCACTCGAGAGTCATCAATATTCAGCAATTACAAGTGACAGGAAATAGAGGGATGTTTCTGCCTGTGTTATCAGCTGCAAAACTCAGCTTACAATCCAAAATGTCAAAATATTTAGCAATTTAAGACACTGATATAATTTGTAAATGGCTTTGTAAAAATTGGATGGTAATACACTTTCACTGGATTTTCAGACAGTAAACAAATTGAATGGCCACAGAATTGGCACTGAGGATAAAACAAACAGAGTTGGATGGATGATGCTAAAAATAATGTTCAGCCACCCCTTCATGTGAAGGAAATTCCTACCACACCTCAAACCAAAAATTAGAGAAAGAGAGTTAAGCCACATAATTTCACCAGAGTAAAAGTATACCCTTATTTAAATAAACTGTTCTCTGCAACAAGGAATACATCATCTCGAACTCCTCCAGAGCCTTTGGCAACAAATTACATTTCATCAAGTACATGCAACCAATGAGATAGCTCCTATATTGTCACTGTGAATTTTAAGGACATCATCATCTGACACTTGCTACAGTTTGGGGCATTCATTGGCTGGAAACTATCAAACAGCTTCAGGTAGGATTTTTTGTTTGTTTTAAATACTTTTCTTTACACAGTGCTGTTGTCCTTCCAATTATGAGAAGTTTGTTAATGCTGGTTATCTACTTGAGATATATTGTCATATACTTTTTTTCTTGCCAGTATCCTATAAAAATCTCTCATATGCACAGCTTTTAAAAGATATGATGTCAGACCCTCTAGATGAAATTATTTAAGTATTAATTATTGTGATTATTGATTAATGCAGAATATTATGTGGTAATTCCTTAAGATGCTTCTGATTATCCTGCACAGATAAAACAGAAAACATTATACAACAGCAAAATTATGCAATGGTACACTAATAATCCTAATTTACAATCCACCCTGAGGTTCCACTGTCCTAGCAAAAGTAAAGTATAGGACCTGTTATTAGGCTACTCCACTGAAGCACTGTAATGTAGCCATTTTCCCACTTCTGCTGTGACACTGTGTGGTACATCTGTAGTCATGAAGGGTTGGAGGAGGCACAAAGTGGTGGTTCAGATGTTGGCGAAGCTGATGGCTCCCTGTGTCCGATTTTAATGAGTGTCAGTTCAGCCCGACTCCATTAACTCTCTCAGAATATTTTGCAAGAATAGTACTGCAGCTTGGTGGGGCAGATTTCTGCGCTTTAGCTTCACTTGCCTAGTGCAAGATACTGCTCTAGTTGCAGAGAACAGGTCAATCTGCATTACTATTAGGAGGTAAGATTAAGCTTTTAGTATGTGATTTAGGAATCAACAGTTTGATCTAGTGGTTTAACAATATTTCTACTTCCATCATACAATGTTTTCTGTTTTTTAACGTATTTGTCAAAACACCATTGAAAAAGTGTTCAAAGTATGTTCAGACATACTGGGCAGGAAATGAAAAAGCTTTAGAAGTGGAAAATGTATATCAACATATACAAGGTTAACAGAAAGGCCAAATCCAAATAAGAAAAACATGAGGCATGAGGAAGCTGGATTTGATACAAAGGAGGGTATGGGAGGATAGTCTACGATAGCAGAGCTGGGGAAGAAAGAAATAGTTTTATCTTCTTGCTTTAACTAAGTAATTCAGAGCAGTAACAATTTAAGCTACTTTTTAATGTTTTGGGAATTAAAGTGAAGCAGTGCGAAAAACAAAGGAAAATATAACTAAGGAGAAAGGAGAAACATTGACTAGAAGGGGAAAAAGGAGTTTCCCAGTTGTAGTGAAATATTGTATTTGTATGAGAAGAGGAGAAGGAACAAAGCGAAGGTTGTGGTATGGCAATCTTACATTAAAACTATCTTGAAATGCCTTTTATAAAGATAGTCCCGAAGAAAGCCCAGACCATATACAAGTGTAAGAGAAGTGGACATTTAGGCATTTTTTGGGAAAAAATACAAATAATTTATTCAGATTAGTGTATCATTTTTCAAATGATATCAAAATCTAGTTAGAAAACTTTCTTGTTTACTCTTTTATTATTTGAGAAAGTATAATGGAATTTACTTTGAATATTTTGTTTGAAATTCCTGCCCCCAGTGCCATCTCTAAATTATTTTTCATACCTTTTTGTTGTGATCTCATATTGTATCCTTTAACAGTGGGAATGAACTACAAGAAGTCCTGGACCCATTCTTGATATTTAGACAAGAACAGATGCTTTGCAATACTTGGCAATGAAAACAGATGAAGTGGAAAACGTACTTTTATACTTACAGTTTTTAAGCACTGTTGTCTGCTTGATTTGAGCTATTTTTGAATATCTATTTCTGACAATATTGGTCCTAAAAGCTAGTTAGATCATCTTCCTATGTCTTGGTCTGTGTTATGTATTTACTTATTTTTAAAATCTACAGACCACAACTTAGAGCCCTAATTAGGGCTCTCTGGGAAGTTTACAATCTATTAGAATCAGAGATAAAAGATTCCATAAAATACAACAGTATTACAATAAGGACAAGTATAGCAGCTGAACATATTTTCATATAATGTCTTTTCTTGTATTAACTATGAACTGAGTGCTTGTTATTCAGTTCATTAAAGTAGCACTCTAGAACATTTCCAGTGTCGTGAATATTAATTCCACAGTGATTCTATCTCAGGTTATATTATGTGACACTTTACCTCTACACATGAACTTCAGAGAAAACTAAAAAATTAAGAACCATAACTGACTCCTGTCACTGAATGTGCTCCCCTTTGATATGTGTACAAACTTGCTCAATAGAAGTGTTTACAATTGCAAATGTAAAAAGGAGTCCTTTGCCAAAAAGAGGCCTTTAAACATTGGTAATACAACATCTGTGACAAAGGTGGAAATATAAAATGATCCATAGACACATATGCTCAAAAATCAAATTATGTATTTATTGATTGCAAACACAAATTTAAATGTACACATTGTTTTGGAGGAAAATTTGTTGGTAGAGCAATGACAATTCAAATACAAGAAAAATAAAGCTTTAGGATACTGCAGAAAGTTAGCTAAACTAGGCCACTAAAATGTGCTGATTGTGTGCTTTGTCAGACTGAGAAGTTGGAAAGAGGGGATACAGAAAATAGGAGACCCTCATACTCTTGGGAAGGAAAAAAAAGAACTGGGCACAAGCATTAAGAGTGGAGAAAAACGACCATGAGGGAATTCATGCTGAGACATAGTGCTGCAATAGGGCTTGCTATTGAAGCACAATCAATGTAACCAGAAGAAAAAGGGATAGTTTAGTCTTCAAAGGCTAAACTCAGCTGACTTCTTCCCAATATCAGTTGTCACTGAAGACTCAAAGCTTTATTATTTTTAGGTTAATGAATTACTGTATAAACTTATCTTTCCTCAAATCACTGTGTACATTTCGAATTTGCATACACATTCAAGTACTCCAAGACCAATTTGTACATTTGCCCCCTGTTTAAGTTGGCACATACAGTAACTATAGCCTTATGTGTAGAACTTCATAGCTGACCACCTCTTTTAGAGAATGGACCCAAATCTTAAATGAACAAGGAAGTGACACAAATGAGTCTCAGCTGTAATCCTTTCCCTTAGCAGCCCATGGAAGAAGGTACTGAAAGCTGAGGTTCTGACCAAACCAGTTTAAGAAAAGAGTCAATTAGCAGATACATACAATGACTGGGTTTGCAGTATTACTAAGAGCTAAATGAGCCAACCATAGGTTATTTGAAGATTTTTCCTACCTCCATCAAGCCATGCTGCTTGTATCCAGATGGCATAATACTCAGGTGGGTAATTAGGCAAATTGAACCTCACATGCACCAAGGATTAAGCAAGCCACAGTTAGCTTGCTCTTTAGCTCTCCATCATTAACTGATCCAACTCAATGGGAAAGAGGAGGGAGTAGAAGCTAGGGTTGAAGGAAGTCCTCTGGCAAGAGCTAGGGAACTTGTACACCTTGGCTCAGTTATCAATTTAAACACTCTGCAACCAATAAATTGGAAGAAAACTAAGGTTTGGAAGGGCAGCAGTGAAAGAACTAGAAATGATCAAGCACAAGAAAGTTTCACTGGAGACCAAGGCCAAGATCATCCATATTCTTGTATTCCCAATCACTATGTATGGGTGTGGAATCTGATAGTCAAAAAGCAGAAGGAAGAAAATTGTGCTGTCCAGTTCTCTCCAGTTTATGGCAACCCTAGGAATGAATGTGCTCTTGAATGTTCTGTCCTTGACAAGTCCTGATCAGCCTTGCAAATTCAAGGCTGTGGCTTCCTTTACAGAATCAATCCAACTCATAGTCTTTCTCTATCTCTGATTTTCCTTAGTATATTTGACTTCTCCAGTGAGACCTGATTTACCATGATGTGTATAAACTATGACAGCTTCATTTTGTGCCCACTGAAAGTTCTTGCCTGACTTGACCCACTTATACATCTAGAACCCACTTACACATCTTTCTGTCAGTCCAGGAAATTTACAAAGCTCTCCTCCAGTACCATGTTTCAAATGCATCAATCTTCTTCTTGTCAGCTTTCTTCACTGTCCAGCTTTCACTCTCATATATAGTGATCAAGAATACAAGAGTGTGGATGATCTTGGTCTTGATCTGTAGTGAAACAACCTCATACTTGAGGATTTTCTCTAGTCTCCTTCAGATTAATTGGCTGCAGGCTCTGTTTCAACTGAAGCCTGACCCAAAGTATGTAGTCTTCTACAATGTCAGTGTCTACATTGCTGAGAGTAAAATTCTAAGATTCCTCTGTACTTCTGATTTTTGTTTGCTTAATGTTCAGCTGCAGTCCTGCTTTTGCACTTTCTTCTTTCAGTCTGACCACAAGCCATTTCAAATTGCTGCTGCTTTCTGCCAGTAATATAGTATCATATGCATATCTTAAATTATTCACCTATCAATTTTTCACTCTTCCTTCTTCTGATCGTAATTCAGCCTTTCTTATAAATTCTGTATACAGATTGGGAGATAAAATGCACCTTTGTCTGATGTCTGTGCCAGCAGGAAGCCATGCTGTTTCACCATATTCTGTCCTAACAGTGTTACATCAACTGCATTAATACTGACAACAGAACAAAAAACTTTCTTTACAGTGAAACACATCTCTACTTTCCTTTCTATCCATTGGACTCCAAATAAGATCATGTGCAGCATTTTCATGCTATAGCCTATTTTTCTAACAGTTTCATTTGCTCAGTAAATTTTAACATTTTACAAGTGAATACTTAAAACTAATGCGCTGCATACTATTGCACTTCAAAAAGTAATATATGTACCAACCAGTTTAAAACCACCTGTCAAAAGAAAAATAGAGAACACATAATAATTTAATTAGTCCACTTACCTGAACTAATTAAACATTGGACATATTTTTAAACCTATACTATTTATACACTTACATACTTGAGTCATTTTTCTTTGACAACCAAATTTCATATATTGAGGTACATGGATTTCAAGATGTATCACACATACTGACAGATATGGAGGTAGCAATCCTACAGTCCTAGTTAGCACCAAATGATCTCTAGATATTTTGGATTCTCAGATTCAAGGTGTTGTAGGACTTCATAGAACCAGTCAACTTCAGCCTCTTCAGCACCAGTGGTTGGGGAATAGACTTGGACTATTGTGATGTTGAATGGTTTTCCTTGAATTCGAACTGAGATCATTCTGTCATTTTGGAGATTGTATCCCAGTACTGCTTTTTCTACTCTTTGATTGACTATGAAGGCTACTCCATTTCTTCTGAGGGATTCTTGCCCGCAGTAGTATACCTGATGGTCATCTGAATTAAATTCACCCATTCCTGTCCATTTTAGTTCACTGATTCCTAAGGTGCCAATGTTCAGTCTTGTCATCTCTTGTTTGACCACATCCAGCTTGCCTTGATTCATGGATCTTACATTCCAGGTTCCTATGGAGTATAGCTCTTTGCAGCATCAGACTCTCCTTCACCACCAGATAGTTCGGCAACTGAGTGTCCTTTCGGCTTCGACCCAGTCGCTTCATTCTTTCTGGCGCTACTAGTACTAGTCCTCCGCTCTTCCCCAGTGGCATATTGGACACCTTCCAACCTGAGGGGCTCATCTCTGGCATCATATCTTTTTACCTTTTGGTATTGTCCATGGGGTTTTCATGGCAGAGATACTGGAATGGGTTGCCATTTCCTTCTCCAGTGGATCATGTTTTGTCAGAGCTCTCTGCTATGACCTGTCCGTCTTGGGTGGCCCTGCACGGCATAGCTCATAGCTTCATTGAGCTACGCAAGCCCCTTCGCCACGACAAGGCAGTGATCCATGAAGGAGGAAAAAGCATTAGGTGGATCCAAAATTGGCTGCCAAATCAGACCCGAAGAGTGCACATCAATGGCACCTTTTCCAAACTGGAGAAAGATAACTAGTGGAATGCCGCAAGCTTCAGTCCTAGGCCCAGCGTTCTTTAATATTTTTATTAATAAATTAGATGAGGAGGTACAAGGAACAATAATCAGATTTGCAGATGATACAAAACTGGGTGGAACAGCGAACACCCTGGAAAACAGAATGAAGATCTAGGGTGATCTTGTTTAGTTTGAACACTGGGCTGAAAGCAAAAGAATGAGATTCAATAGGGAGAAATACCAAGTCCCACCTAGGAAAAAGAAACCAAATGCATCAATACGAGATGGGGAATACATAGCTCAAGAGAACTGAAAAAGAAAAGACCTTGGAGTTATTGAGGACAGCAGGCTAAATATGAGCCAGAAATGCTATGCAGGGCAAACAGTATTTCGGAATGCATTAATAGAATTATTACTTCCAAATCATGAGAAGTAATAGTTCCCCTATACTCTTCACTAGTCAGACCTCAACTAGAGTATTGTGTCCGGTTCTGGGCACCGAGATTTAAGAAAAAGATAGAAAAATTAGAAAGAGTCCAGAGGAGGACAACAAAAATGATCCAAGGGTTGGAGACAGTGCTCTATGAGTAAAGACTGAAAGATCTGGGTACATTAAGCCTTGAAAAGAGAACACTGATGGAGGACATGATATTGCTTGAATGTACCAGTTACAAAGAGGAAGGACAAAATCTCTTCTCGCTCATACCAAACATGGAATAATAACTCAAGTTGCGACGAACCAGATTCAGGCTTGATATCAGGAAAAGGATCCTAACAGAGCAATATGAGAGTGGAACCAGTTGCTTAGAAAAATCATGGGCTCTCCCATACTAGAAACATTAAAAAAGAAACTGGACAGTCATCTGAGTGGGATGGTGTAAAAATCAACAGCAGGGGGGTGGACCCAATGGCCATCTTGACCCCTTCTAGCTCTAGTATTCTATGATTCTAAGATGAACTAGTGTAATTTGAGTGCACACTGAAAATGATTTACCATGCAGGGTTCATGCATTATTATCTGCATTAACAATTTTAATGGGTCCACATTAGCTGGAATAGCTGCAATTAGTGGCTGGTTACATCATTCAGAAGTAGACACCTCTTTAATGCTACTTAGGAAAACTTAATGTAAAATATAATTATTCAAGTAATTAAGCAAGAGGATTTTGATGCCAAGTCTAAGAGATTTTTTTTGTTTCAGAAATTTAAAATTGTTAATGCTTAAACAAAATAATCTTGCCAACTATACAAGTACTGGTATTTCCTATACCTAAGTCTTACTACTATTAACATACCATTTTGTTTTCTTCTTTCTGCAGTCTACCACAACAGAACTTAAATATGGGAATTCTAAAGCAACTACTAACTATTCTTCTCCTCTTTGGAGTCACAGTGTTCTGTCAATATGAAGGCGATTATTTTGAGAATGAATATGAAAATGAAATAGATAATGAATATCCATCTATTTTTCATCATATTCCAAGCGTAGAATATGCCATTTCTCACTCTGTCACACCTGCTGAGTGTGCCAGAGAATGCTTTTGTCCACTTACTTCCCCAATAACAATGTACTGTGATCATCGTAAACTTCAGAGGATACCAAGCATTCCCTCTCACATCCAACAACTTCATCTGGAGTATAATGATATCGAAGCTGTTCCTATGGAATCATTTGTTAATGCCACTGCTTTGAAAGAAATTAATCTCAGCCACAACAAAATCAAGTCTCATATGATCGATAATGGTGTCTTTGCCAAACTTTCAAACTTGGTGCAACTCCACTTAGAAAACAATCTGTTAGAAGAAATTCCATACCCACTACCTAGAAGCTTAGAACGACTGATCCTAGGTTTCAATCAAATTACCAGTTTGCCCAACAGAGCCACAGAAGATTTAGTAAATGTGACCATGCTTGACCTCTGCAACAATTGTCTTGAAGATTCTCAACTCAAAGAAGCACACTTTTCCAATATGAGAAACCTAATGCAAATCAACCTCTGCAACAACCGACTACAATCTATGCCTCCAGACCTACCAATTTCACTTATGTATCTTTCTCTTGAAAATAATTCAATATCTTCTATTCCAGATAATTATTTCCAGAAACTTCCAAAACTTATTGCTGTAAGAATGTCATACAACAATCTACAAGATGTTCCATATAATGCTTTTAACCTTCAAAATCTTGTGGAACTCAATCTTGGACACAACAAACTGAAGCAAATATTCTATGTTCCAAGAAGCCTCCAGCACTTATACATAGAAGATAATGACATAGAAGGTTGGTTGAAGTATTTTAAAAGTGTTGTTTATTATCCTGATCTCTCAAAAAGGCTATGTTCCATTTTTAATTTGCTCTTTTGATGACTGGTACCAAATTACATATTACAATAAGGTGCAAAACTGCAGTAGGGTTTTAGAATTTAATATTTAGAAGAAGTAGGGAGACCATTTTCTCCAGTGTCACAGCTGAGGAAGGAAAATTTAATCCTTCCCTCTCCAGCTGCAGTTCCAGTCCCATTGACCTACAATGAATCTTAGAAAAAAGAGCACTTTGGCTTTTCTCTTATAAAAGACAAATTGCAGTATGTGGTACCAAACTACTGCATGGCCGAAAAGGGATAGTTTAAACCTGTCTTCCACACATGTTCCCATCCTAATAAAGAGTTGGGGTTCTCATACTTAGTATTAGGACATTTTCCTTACATAGTTGCAAATATCCTATCTAGCTAGATTAGGCTCTGTGCTAGCCAAACAAAAGAATGAGTTCACTAGGCAAGTCAAATAATGTGGAACAAAATGAAGTGCAGAGGTATCAGTCAGCTATGGAATCAGCTTAAAATAGAATGGGAAATATGCGAGCAATGGTCAAAGCATGGTATCACTAGGCAGGCAGCCAGTTTCCTGAGGCACAGGTCAAAATATGGAAAAACAGTCAAGCAGAAAGACAGTCTAAAAAGCAGAGTCAAACAAGAGTCCAAGAAGTCAGCAGCACAATCACAAGGGTTGAACAGGATGCCAGCCATGGCTAGTCCTCACTTAGGTGCAGATCATTACAAGCCTTCAAGCAAAAGTCCAACTAGTGAGGAAGGTTTGGCTCACATGAAGACCGTTACTCTTGAGAAGTATGGTTAAGATTCGTGAGGTGTGAACTTCATCTCTGTGAGGTAACCCATGTCTTCACTTTCAGGAGCTATCATATTCAAGGGTTCAGTAGGTATTTACTTTCCTCATTTGCTGCCACGGGCAACATACAGTCGTCTGGGGTGGCATCTGGAGGACCCTAAAGTCTGCTGCTATAGAAGAGAACAATGCCTCTTCTCCCCTATAGTCCAAAGTAAAGATGTGAATAGCAGACCAGAAGCTGGCTGTCTTACACTCACTGGACTTCTTTCCCACATTTGGCCTGAGCCAGGAAGTGAGACTACAGCGTCTGTGAATAGCTGGGAATGCTAGAGACATCTTTGTGCAAAAGCTGTAACACTCTATGCAAAGAACTGCAAAATCCACAAGTCAGGTGTACAGAAGCAGAATTCTGCTTGCCCAGTGGATGTATGGGCAGCATGTGTGCAAGCCAGCCTCACAGCCAGCCTGATGTGGACACTTGGCACAAGGTGGACTTAGGGCAGAGAGAAAGCAGGCTGGAGTCTGGGAAGCTGAGCTAAGAAAAATCTTACAGATTCCCACCCCCAAACCAGATTCCTCACACAGCACTAGCCTGAGGGGCCTGGGATCCCATTATTATTAAGAGAGTCTAACAATGCATTTAGCATCATATTTAGTTTAACCTACAGCTTTAAATAAGATAGCAAAGTAGGTAGGGCAATAAGTATGTTTAAGCATATTGATTTTTTATATAATATTCTACAGGAAATTTGGATCACAGGTACCATTGCTGTGAATGTTTATGTTGCCCATTCATTGAAAGCAATTTGGACAAATAATAAAGGACATCTTAGTTTAGGTCTTGCAGTCTTAATATCAACCTCATTGACTAAAACAGCCTTACTGAAAAAGTGAGCAGCTAATTTTTGGATTTCATTGAAATTTAAATCCAGTAGTTTCCTGATTATGTTTTTATTTCATAAAGCCCATATACAGTGGTACCTTGGTTCATGAACTTAATTTGTTCCACGATTCTGGTCCCGACCCAAACTGGTTGTGAAGCAAGTCAAATTCCCCCATAAGGTTCAATGTAAATAAGGTTAATCCATTCTGACCACTACGAACGTAATCGCAAACCGATTTTGGTCGTGAACCAAGTTAAATTTGCCGATAAGGTTCAATATAAATAACCTTATTTATATTGAACCTTATCGGCAAATTTGACTTGGGAAGACAAGTGGTGGGACCACTAAATAAGGAGGAAGAAGATCCAGTGACTGATATGAGGGAACAGGCACAGATGCTAAATGACTATTTTGCCTCTGTGTTCTCCCCAAAGCAGGACGGGGGATATCTGCATAGGAGATTAGATGAGGCTGGGGACTTAGGGGCACAGATTAGAGTCACCCCCCCTTGAAATCGAGGGGCTTCCCAGGACATTGGATATTACAAAGGCACCAGGCCCTGACAGGTTACACCTGAGAGTACTTAAAGAGTTGGCAGGGGTTCTCTCACGCCCGCTGGCCTCCATTTTTGAGGCGTTGTGGAGAACGGGTGAAGTTCCAGAGGACTGGAGGGTGGCATCAGTGGTCCCAATTTTCAAAAAAGGTAGTAGAAGGGACATGGGGAATTACAGACCTGTTAGCCTCACGTCCATTGCAGGAAAAACAATGGAAAGGCTCATAATAGAGAGAGATCTAGTGATGCTAGATAGGGAAGGGAGGCTGACAGCCACTCAACACGGCTTCCGCAAAAACAGGTCCTGCCAGACAAACCTTGTGGAATTCGAGATGGCTAGATGGAGGGGATGCAGTGGATGTGGTATACCTGGATTTCAGCAAGGCCTTTGACAAAGTGCCCCATGATATCCTGGTGGAGAAACTGAGGAGTTCTGGGATACACCAAAGCACTGTCCAGTGGATTAGGGCATGGTTGACTGATCGAAAGCAGAGGGTAACCATTAGTGGGGAATCGTCAGGATGGCGGCCAGTGACAAGCGGGGTCCCCCAGGGCTCTGTCCTGGGGCTGATCCTGTTTAATCTTTTCATAAATGACATGGAAGAAGGGGTGAACTGCTGATAACTATCAGTCTGCTGATAACTAAAACCGGAGCAGTGGCCACAACTGAAGAGCAGGTACTCCAGATCCAAAAGGATCTGGACAGACTATGGAAGTGGGCAGGAGACAACAGGATGACATTCAATGTGGATAAATGCAAAGTCTTCGTGCATAGGAATAGGTGTCATAAGTACAGGTTAGGTGACAAGTACCTGGAGAGCAGCACTTATGAAAGGGACCTCGGGGTACTGGTTGACTGCAGGCTAAACATGAGTCAGCAGTGTGATGCAGTGGTCAAGAGGGCGAACGCCACCCTTGGTTGCATAGCCAGAAGTGTGGCTTCTAGATCGAGAGAGGTATTACTACCACTCTATATGACTCTGGTGTGCCTGCAACTGGAGTATTGTGTTCAGTTTTGGGCCCCTCATTACAGAAAGGATATAGCCAGGTTAGAGTCAGTGCAGCGTAGGGCCACAAGATTGGTGGCCGGTTTGCAGGGGATGCTGTATGAGGCGAGACTGAGGGAACTGGGTCTCTTCAGCCTGGAGAAGAGGAGACTCAGAGGGGATATGTTGGCGACATACAGGTATGTGAGGGAATGTCACATGGAGATGGATAGAGACCTGTTCTCCCCTGCAGAGGAAGGCAGGACGCAGTCCAACGGAGCAAAGCTCAGGGAACCAAGGTTCCATTTAGATGCCAGGAAGCACTTCCTGACAGTTAGGACCCCGAGGGTGTGGAATGGGCTTCCACGAGAGGTTGTTGAGGCCCCATCGGTGAGGGTGTTCAAGGATAGGCTGGATGTCCACATGGTGGGCATGTCGTGAGCAGAGCCAGCTGGTGCCGGAGGTCAGACTAGATGGCCTGGGAGACCCTTTCTGACTTGCTCTGTTTCTATGTTTCTAAGGTTAATCAGTTCTGTAAATATTTTTTCATCACAAAAATTTGAAACAAAGTAACAAAGAACAACAAAGTAACAAAGTATAGTACAGTAGAGAACACTAACCTAGGTGAGGAGAGGTTATTGTTTGGAGGGAGAGTCCCCCTCCATAAGGACATCAGGGAGATCTCCTTCAGGGGCTTCCTCTCTTCTTTGTCTCTTAGCTGCAGGGTCAATTTTGATGAAAAATCTGCACGTTCTGGTCACCTTCATCACCACTCTGCACGTTCTTTTTACCACCATGCTTGCTCTGCACTTTCTTTGGAGCCATTATTCAATATTATTATTACATAATATTTTACAGTACAGTATGTGCTAAAAAGCATACAATAAAGCTTCACAGCAAGTGACCACAGGTCTGTCTGCGACTACAAGTGGGGATGATGGGCACAATCGCGCTCATGCAGGGAAGATGGCTGCAATCGCGGTCATATTCATGCGGGGAAGATGGCCATGATCGTGTTCGTGCAGGAACATGGCCGCGATCGTGGTTGTCACTCGATGAGGAGTTTGCAAAAGGAGGCAAGATTTTTCTGAAATTTTTGTTCATAAACCGATTTGGTTGTGAACTGAGGCATTCGTAAACTGAGGTACCACCGTACAGAAAATACAGGCCAAATTAGAATATTATTCATTTTCTCTAACTATAAAATTCTCTGAAGCGTATCTGCTTATGATTAGAGGTTCTTATGCCAGAACTGGACCAACAGGATTACATATTCGAAGATAAATTTCCAGGTTTAGGACAGACTGAAGATGACAAAGTTTCTTTCTTTAGAGAAATTCAAAAGATCTGAACTTGAAATTTACAGGCTTTTGTTTGGCCCAAATCCAATATAAACTAGACTTGCAAATTCTCAGTGAAATAGCTACTATGGATGGCAATGGCAAGTTCACTTTTTCAAACTATTGAGCTCCAATATAATGGATTACTGTTTGGTCTCTGGAAATTTTCTCCAGTTAGTGCAATGACCATCAGCTCTTGGTATTAAATGTGTTAACTTTTAGAGACTGTTGTGCAGCTAACCCAATCTCATCAAATTAAAACTGAAAACCAATATAGGGTAAGAGCCAAATGGTCAGTTCATCTAAGAAATATTAGGCTGAATTCTGTTTCAACAGTCCAATTAAAATCTATAGTACAGTCTGAACAAGTTTCTGCAACTATTCTGGAGTTAGTACAACCTCTCTAAGAGGTTGGAGAGGTTAACATATGAACAAACATATGTTCATTAATGTATGAACAAAAGAGGTTATATGAACATATAAATATGAACAAAATTCCTCTCCTAGGAGCTTTGGCCCTGAGAATTTCAGGAGTTCCAAATGGTTTGATGAGGAGTGCAGTTCACTGAAAAGGGCACAAGGAGACTCCTATATCTTGTACAGGAAGTCAGGGTTAAGCCATCCCCACTCTAGTTATTTCCAACTGAAAAAATATAAAGCCTTACTAGCTCATAAATATAATCAGAGTTAACTTGATTTATGGTTCCTGCTTTTACATGCTTCTCTTCATAGTGATTCTAGAAGTTTCTGGCAGCTGGTTTCAGAAACATTATACTCTCAATCTCAACTTTCCAACTGCTATATCTTGGCAGAGGTATGGAAGGACCATGTTAGAACCAGCTCTACTATCCCAGATGGCCTTGCATATGATTTTGACCTTCCTCATACTGCTGAATTATCAAACATACCAAAATGGAACCCGTCACCATAAAAGCATTATATCTATAACCTAGATATTCAGATCAATTTACTATGGCTCTAGGGATTTATTGTATCTCTGCAGAGGTCATAAAAATAAATCATCATTGGTGAGCACCATTGCTGGTTTCACTTTTTAATATAGCAAATAAATCTTCTTTCATTCCTTCTAGCTGAAAGAGAACAGTAGTAGTACTTGCTTTTAAAAAGAATCCAGCTGATGATCCAGCAAGCTATCGATCTACCTGTCTGCTAACAGTTATGGGAAACTTTTATGCTAGATTTCTAAGCAATACATTGTTGTTTCTTTTAAAAAATCTGAGGACATATTTAATGATTCCTAAGCAGCATTTAGGGAAAATCATTCAATCTTTGATTACTGTGTGGTGCTTCCACACTTCACTGAATAAACCGTAAGATCCCAGCAAAGGAAATTGTTTACTGCCTTTATAGATTTAAAGGCAGATTTTAATTTTACTCCCAGGAGCAAGTTATACTATTGGGCTTTTGCAATGCACTCTATATGGAGCTGTCCTTGAAGAACATTCAGAAACTCTGACTAGTGGAAAATGCTGTAGCTCAGCTACTAACAGGTACATGGAATCATGATCTCATTACACCAATAATGAAAGTTCTGAACTGGCTGCCAACTGTTTTCTGGGCTCAGTTCAAGATGCTGGTTTTAACTATTAAAGTCCTAAACTGCTTAAGACCTGCCCTTCTGCCTTTCTCAGTATTAACCTTCTTGTTTTATTAAGACACGAAATTAAGATAAGAGAATCCTGTTAACAGATACCCTCTTTCTGAGTCGTGGCTGGTCACCACTCTCCCTCCTTGCAGGAAAGGGCCCCAGAAACACATAACTTTTAATCTAGATTTTAATTGTTTTAGTTATGCCTATCAAATACTGTTTTAATTAGCATTTTATTGTCTGAAATGTTTGTAAAGCACCTTAGTTGGCTTCAGATATGCAGTAGAGAAATAAAACTTAAATCAAATTAAAGTTCTAAAGCTGTTAGAGACAAAATATATCAAAAATGGTTTTTGCAGATGCTTAAGCCCAATTTACTTCCACAAGTTCCAGTTGAGTAGAATTATATCAGAACTGGAGATAAAAAACAACTTGGGGAAAAAAGATCCTAAAATATTTCAAAATCAAAATTTCTCAGCTGTTGTTTTAAAAAGCTATGCAAAAGCGAAAAGATTACTAACAATCTTACCTGGATGGTTTTTTCCTCAGAATATCCCATGGTGTTAATAAGGTTTACTTGCTAAGTAAGTAGGTACCGAATTACAATCTAACACTAATAAATTGAACTAGTAGTTTTACCTTAGTACCTGTTCAAGTACTACAGTATCTAAATAAGCTTTAGTTCATAGTTACAGAAACAAAAATGAAAAATTCAGATCCAGTTAAATGAATCAACAGTAATCAGCTGCATTCTCAGATACCACATTTTGTTTTATAAATGCAAAAAACTATCTTTGAAGATGTAACCCAAATATTTCCAGCTTTTTAATACTTTCTCTTTTTTTCTTTTTATACAGTTATTAATGTTACTCAAATGTGTCCTTCCATTGATCCACTAAACCTCAGCCACTTAACCTATATACGAGTGGACCAAAATAAGCTAACAGCCCCAATAAGCACATATGCCTTCTTCTGCTTTCCACATATACGCAGTATTTATTATGGGGAACAAAAAATTAGTGCCAACCAACAAACACAGCTGAGAACTCCAGTATTCCGAAGATATCTAACAGCGGAAGAGTATGAAGAAGCAGAAGATGACCATGAAGAACATGTTCCAGATCATGATCAGGATCATGATCACATAGAAAGGGAAGAAGATGACTATCCTGATGCTTACTTATATTAACTGATTATAAGTTTTGGCAATAGTATACTATATATATTTGTGTGGATAGAGTGCCCATTTTAAGAGCAAATGGAATCATCTGGAAAATGCAAAATGGTTGTAAACCAACTGAAGTAGAACATCATCTCTGGAGCATGAAACAGCTACAGATTCACACAGAAATTGTACTTTCCAAACCTTCAAAGCATTAGTTTAAACATTATGAAGAGATTCTAACTATCGAACTTGCCCAACTGGAAATACGAATATTTCACTGCTAGTATACAGCTGGCATTTCACTGCTAGTATACAGCTAATCACTTTCATATTTAAATATATTTATGACAATAAATTATAATCAAATACTTTGAAGTCCTTCTACCAGAATTTACAATTTGCCACTTCATAAAAATTACGTTAATCACACATCTGCCCATCACCTCTGAAGAGTAACCTGAGAGAGAACAGTTGGAAAAGATGTTTAGTAGGAATTGGTTTGACTAAACAAATTTCTTAAGACTCACTTTGAAGATCTGCTTTCAGTATCAACTTACCACAGAATGTCAAATGCATTTAATAGACAATCTATTTTTATAAAAAATAAACAATATCTGGGATGTAATATGCACTAGTATCCCCAAGTCTATCAGCATTCCAACAAGCTGGATGATTCTAATCGCAATCCATGAAAACAAGCCAACAGAACAGACTTGTATCCAATCCAATGACTAATACAAGACCATCAAAGGAGTAGATTCTTTATTATTTTACGATAGATGCCTCATAATTTTGCCTTTAACTCAATGTTTCTACTTTATGCATCATTTTATAACAGCTAACTCTGCAATGCTAATGCTCATCAGTAAAGGCATAGCTTAGTTAATAGACTAGATAATATATAATATTTGAGCATGTATTGTTTAGAAAGATAGCTCTAAGCATTTACAAAAAATGTACAATGTAATTAAAAATGCAGCAGTTTTCTTCTAGAAGATTGCCTTGCCTCTGCACTAAATCAGGATACCAATAAATACAGATGCTTATAAAAGGTGAGATTTAATTTTGACCCTCTTTGCCCTGAAACAAAGGTGCTTTGTTTTGCTTTTCTAAATACAGAATATTGTTTTTGTGGCATACTCTTGAAAAACTTAAGCAATACATGTTCACATAAAGAAATTTCTTAACATTTAACATTAGTATTATACACTTAAGAGATTACTTATAATTTATTAACACTGCACTGAAATGTATAATAATCTTTCCTTATTTTAGCTTTTTGTAAAACTGTGAATTGGAAACACATCAAAAGATGTACTTCAGAATTAAGTTCGTTTGGAGACATTTCAGAACAATGGGTGCATTTAAGAAATAGTAGACTATATACTATTTTATAGGGATAAACTGGACTATCTAACCGCATATCTTCAATTACTTGTGTTGGTCACAGGTTCTTCTTTAAAGGTTGACATACATAGCACTATAAATTGTAAGAAAGTTAGTAAAAGACATCAGGGGTGGGTATGAAGCATTTTAGAAAGCACCTTGATTCTACTGATTTGGTAACTCCTTTTCATCAACCAGTAACTTCCTTGTTATATGTACATTTCAGTCTACTTTTGCTACTCCTGATCTGTTTCTCTGTAATACCATTGCTCATCATTCCACATTTTTAAAATCAAGCTTTCTGGAATCTAGGATGTTCTCTCACTAACCTTGTTATCTTGAATTGCTATCTGCCATTCAAGCATTTTACTAGGGAACATCCATATAACATTGTTGGCAGCCTACTTTTCCTTTCTTTCCCAGACCTAATTTGGGGCCATTTTTCTGCTGTATAATGGATAAAGTGTGGATAGATAAAGCACTATCAAGATTATCTTTTCTCCAATATACAAAAGCACAAATTTTTAAAAAAGAATGGCAAAATGGTATGGCTGTTAGGGCAGGTTGCAACTGCTACCTTGTTCAACTACTTAGAATAAGTTTGTGGTAGATGCCTTCTCTTGCTTTCCGTCTATTAACTATTTTATTGATTGACTGATTGCATTCGTATACCACTCCATAGCCAGAGGGTCTCTGGGCGGCTCACAGCAAAGTCAAACAGTGATACAGATTAAAATAAATAATAACTAAAACTGTAAAATACAATAGAGTAAAAATACAATATAAGTACAACAATATAAATACAACAGGAAGAATAATCACAATATAACCAATAAAACAACAAACCTAACCCTAACCCTAACCCAGCAGTAAGGCATTAGATAATAGTCATTATCTAAAAACAGATACTTAAAAAAAAAAGTCTTAACTTAGTGTTGAAAGCAAGGTAAAATGGGTGCCAGTCGCACCTCGCTTGGAAGAGAATTCGAAGTTGCGGTGTGAAGACAGAGAAGGCCCTTTTCCTCATCAATTCCCCCCTCACCTCATGGGAAGGGGCATGAAGGAGGGCCTCCATTGATGACCTGAGTGGCCTGGTAGGATATATGGAAACAGGTGTTCTTTAGATATCCTGTACCCAAGGCATTTAAGGTTTTATATGTTAGCATGAACACTTTGAATTGACAATTTCAGGTAGCCAATTGAAATGGCAGGGGACCAGCATATGTTCTCTCCTTCTTAGTAACTGTGCTGCTCTGTTTTCAAAAGGAGCCCCACGTAGAGTGTATTACAGTAATCAAGACAAGAGGTTACCAGCGCTGGATAACTGTGGCGGGGTTCCGCTCATCCAAGCAGGGAGGTAGCTGGAATATGAGCCTAAGCCGATAGAAGGTGCTCTTGGCCACCGAGACCACCTGAGAAACAGGTGAAAGCTCAGGGTCCAGAAGCACCCCCAAGCTATGAACCTTATCCTTTAGGGGGAGTGCAACTCCATCCGGGGTTGGTTGAAAAATTTCCAGTTGTATAAATGGACTGCCCACCAACAGAACCTCCATCTTTTCTGGCTTGAGCTACAATTTATTGGCATTCATCTAGTCCATTACCAAGCCAAGCCACTTGTTCAGGACAGTCACCACCTCACCTGGTGAGATGAAAATGAGAGGTAGAGCTGAATGACATCAGCATACTGATGACACTTCATCCCATACCTCCAGATGATCCTACCAGTGGTTTCATGTGTTAAAGAGCATAGAGGACAGAATGGAGCCCTGTGGAACTTCATGGCGCAAATGCCACGGCACAGAGTGGCAGTTCCCCAGTTTCACCAATGGGAGACGGTCAGCCAGATAGGAGTGGAACCACTGCAAAAGCAGTGCCCCCAACTCCCAGTACAGCCAGCCTCTCCAGAAGGATACCATGGCTGATGGTATCGAAAGCCACTGAGAGATCCAGGAGAATCAACTGAGTCATGCTCCCCCTGGCTCTCTCCCAGCATAGATTATCCCATAGGGCAACCAAGGCAGTTTCTGTTCTGAACCCATGCCTAAAGCCCAATTGAAATAGGTTGGATAATCTATTTCCTCTAAGAGTGTTTGGAGTTGCCCGGCCACAGCCCACTCAATCATCTTGCCCAGGAAGGTAACATTTGCCATAGTTTGACAATTACTTAAGTTCTCTAGATCCACATGTGGTTTTTAAAAGAGTGGTGTAACCACCAGTTTCTTCAAAGGGGCAGGCACCACTCCCTATCTCAAGGAGGCATTCACCGCCTCCTGAATCCAGGGTCAAGTCACCTCCTTTGATCTCTCAATTAGCCAAGATGGGTAGGGGTCATGCAAACAAGTTGTGACATGGACATAACCCAGCACTTTCTCCACATCCTTGGGTCATAATAGCTAAAACTCATCCAGTAAAACTGGACCAGATAGCACACTGGACACCTCTGCTGATAGCACTGGGATAACTGTGGTGCCCAACCTGAGATGAATCTGAGCGACTTTACCCTCAAAGTGTCACACAAACTTGTCACAGTGGGTCTCTGAGGGTTCAAGGGTATTATCTATTTATTTATTTATTTAGCAGACTTATATGCTTATATATGGTATCACATCTTGGGCCTGAATGTAAAAGGCCGCAAGCCACCCAGAAGATCGCCACAGGATGACAACTCAAGTGTAATGGAAGCAGCAAAGAAAGACCACTTTGTCACTTTCACTGCAGCGAAACATGCCTGATAGTGGGCACTAAGCCATGTTTGGTGAGATTCATAACATTTCTCCACCGGGGCTCTAGTCATCTTCCCTCTTCCTTAATTGCATGCAGCTCTGGTGTGTACCAGGCAGCTGGATGGGTTCGGCAAGTGGGGAGAGGGCACGTGGGAGCAACTGTGTCAACCACCCAGCTCATCTCCTTATTCCACAGGGAGACCTGGGCATTGACAGGAGCACCAATCATACCAACAGGAAAATCCCCAGAGCCCATTGGAAGTTTTCTGGATCCATTAGACTCTGGGGGCAGACCAACTTAATGCATTCCTCACCCCTCCAGAGGAGAAAAGGGGCCGAAAGTCCAAACCTCAGAAGGAAGTGATCTGACCATAACAACAGGGTTGATGACAACCACCAGATCACCATCTTTCTGCCCAGTTGAGAAGACCAGGTCCAGTGTCCTGAGCTGCCCTGGACAAGGTCACCTTGGCATGATTATTGAGGACTCCCAGGACCATCATCCTGGGAGTCCTCAATACCAGGTCTACGACAATTTCCGTCAGCTCAGGCAAGGAGTCTGCTGTCTAGTAGGGCAGGCGGTACACCTAGGGTAGCAGGATCCCTGTCTCAGTTGCCCAGAGCAAGCTACAGACACTGAAGAACTATAGAGTCTCGTGAGGGGAAGATGATGGGCACCCCCCTCCCCGGCCCACCAGGAAATATTGGTGCAGCACCAAGAGGCCACAATTGGGAGAGAGTGACCCCCCACACACACACTCCCACCCAGGTCTCGGTAATGCAAGCCAGGTTGGCACCCTCATCCACAATTAAATCATGGTGAGAGAGCATTTAGTATGCACCAACCTGGCATTTAGCAACAGGACCACAAGGCCTGGTGGTAAACCAGCAAACTGCCCACTGGGAATCATCTGTTTAGGGGAAAGATCAGAAGAAGGAATAGCGATAAGACATCTGTTCCCTCTTCTCGTTCAGTGGCCAATCAGTCCCTCAACACCATATCTCCCCCCACCAGTAACTACAACAATAGGTGCACCCATATCCACTGAACACACCGAGCAAGACAACAAACAGCCCAAAAGCTAAGCCAAAACCAGCTACTGGGAGGAGGGAGGTGAGGAAAGGGGGGGGGGACATTAAAATTAAAATTAATAAAAATTTAAATTTAAAAAGCCAGTACTGATGAGCTCTATCCCACTTCAACTTACCTTTCCTTTCATAATCCACATCTTGTTAGCCATCTTACCTACCTCCTTAATCTCAACAACAGTACCTTTGCACATTCCCAATGACCCTGCTATGAACAAGCAACCAAAACCATAATCACAGTTTAGTACCATCCCATTATCATGCCAACCTCCACCTACCCACAAGTACTTACATAAACCCTCAGTATGCACAACTACCATCAACTCATCAGTATTAAAAAAAAACCCTCCTGTTTCCCGAGCAGCCACCAACGGAAGTGTGCAGAGAAAGGAGGCTGGCTAAAAGCCCGCAGGGAGGGTCTTGCTATTTGTGGCCCTGCTGCTTCCCTTGGTCTCCATGCCATGCCTGCAAAGTGGCCCAGGTCTTGCCTGCACCAGCCTGGATAGAGAAGGAAAGCAGCGCATGGTGCCTTCCTACTAACAAAAGGCTGCAACCTCTTCAGTCTTCAAGGCATCCCGAATCCACTTGGAACTTACTTGTGAGTAAACATGTCTAAAAATAGGTTAATACAAAATAGTCTCTAATCAAAGTATGAGTAGGCATATCTACTCAGAAGTATGTTCCCTGGCACTTACTCCCAAATTACTGTGCGTTGATTACAGACCAAATCTTGAATACTGGAAAATGCAGGTTGACACCAAATCTGCACCTCTCTACCAGAGACATTTTCTGTGTTTCTCAATACCCAAACAACCTTAAGC